GGGGAAATGGCCGGGGCCAGGGCCCGTGGAGGGTCCTCTTTTTTTATTTATGAGATATGGTAACCCTATCCAACATGGAAGTTCAAAGAAGAATAGGAAAAATGGTTAGCAGCCTGGAGGGACAGAATAGTGAGGAAAGAATAAAAGAGCTAAACATCTATAGCTGTACTGACAAAGGAATAAGGCATGGAAGAAAAACACAGCTTATTTGAGAGGGTCAATATCAAGAAACGACCAGAATTATTTAGAATGGTACAAGGTGATAAATCTAGGGGAAATTGAATGTATTTTAAAAAAAGAGAAATTTAGGTTAATCATCAGGAAAAGAGTACCAATAGTGTGATGTGTTAGGCTGTGAAATATTTGCCTACGGGAAGAGATGGAAGCCCCATCCCCGGAGACATTTAAAACTGCACTGGAAAAAAGCACTACAATATCTGGTAAGGAATAGTCCTACACTAGCAGGGAGATGGACTAGATGATCTAATTGGGCTTTTCCAGCTCTATTTTACATGATTAAATTATAATTCTACAGTACTGGACAATTCTGATTTCAAATACAGAAGTCCAGCGTCAAGGGACATGTGCTCAACCCAGTAACCCAGTTAAGAAATAAAAGTTCCCCTATTTTGAATGGAAATTCTGCAGATACTAAATGAGGATAACAATACTACATAGCATGATCAGCTGTCAAGAGGTAAGCTAATAAAATCTTCACTTCAACCTTTTCTTTTTCCCCAACAAAGATACCAGATGATAGAATTTACAAAACAATTAACATTTTGAAAATGCTGCCATTTCCACCTGAGATGGACTCTGCCCAGATTCGATCCCTGGACTGGATAGAAAGTTGCAACTAACTAACTCTATGAGAACTCACAACAGGTGCAGATCTCCTTTTAAGATCCCTATTCTGTAACTCTTGGTCATACTGAGTAGCACTTGTGCCAATAATGCCTCCAACTACATGGGAATGATGACTTGTCTAAGTGCTATTCAGAGTGAGTGAGGGTTGAAGGATCAGGCTAGAGAAGTGCTGCACTAGAAAAACAGAAGTAGTCTCGTATATAGAAGACTCCCATGAAATACTGATAGTCTAGCTAGCATGTTTGTTAGCCTGGGAGTTATAGATTCATAAATTCATAGATTCTAGGACTGGAAGGGACCTCGAGAGGTCATCGAGTCCAGTCCCTTGCCCTCATGGCAGGACCAAATACTGTCTAGACCATCCCTGATAGACATTTATCTAACCTACTTTTAAATATCTCCAGAGATGGAGATTCCACAACCTCCCTAGGCAATTTATTCCAATGTTTAACCACCCTGAAACCACCTTTTTCCTAATGTCCAACCTAAGCCTCCCTTGCTGCAGTTTAAGCCCATTGCTTCTTGTTCTATCCTTAGAGGCTAAGGTGAACAAGTTTTCTCCCTCCTCCTCCCTCCTCCTTATGACACCCTTTTAGAAACCTGAAAACTGCTATCATGTCCCCCCTCAATCTTCTCTTTTCCAAAGTAAACAAACCCAATTCTTTCAGCCTTCCTTCATAGGTCATGTTCTCAAGACCTTTAATCATTCTTGTTGCTCTTCTCTGGACCCTCTCCAATTTCTCCACATCTTCCTTGAAATGCGGTGCCCAGAACTGGACACAATACACCAGTTGAGGCCTAACCAGCGCAGAGTAGAGCGGAAGAATAACTTCTCGTGTCTTGCTCACAACACACCTGTTAATACATCCCAGAATCACGTTTGCTTTTTTTGCAACAG